CCTGGTCTAAACCTGTTCTCAATGCTCTACTGTAGGCTATATCTCTTTTATCTGCTGCTATTCTGATTTCGTCTGAAAACCATTTCTTTCCCTCCCAGACTTTTGGTATCTTAAATTTTTTCTTTGGCGCCAGAATGCCCAGTACATTTACTAATTTATTAACGAAATTTTTAGCCTTTATATTAATATCTAAATGTTGATTTATCTCGACTTTTTCCTTCAAAATTCTAAGAAATTCATCTACATCAAAATTGCTAAAGTCTCTACCTATAAATTCTTTATATTTGTTTCTTTTCCCTTTTGTATTAAAATCTATTTTTAACCAAGGATGGTCCGTAATTTTAGGTTTTTCGCAGACCTGTGTCTTTAATATCTTGTTCGAAAATATTAAGTCTATAATTGTTTGACTATCTTTCGTGGACCTTGTCGGACTATCCACATATTGCTTCATCCCTAAGTTTTGCATTGCTGTTAATAGTTTCCTCGTGTAGAACGATTCTACGCTTACATCTATATTAAAATCCCCGATTATTATACAATCACCTTTTATTGTCATGCTTTCTACTACGTCTTCTAAGAATCGAATGAAGTCACCATCAGATGCACTAGGTGAGTGATACACCACTGCTATCACCCTTTTATATAAGTTATCTTTTACTTCTATCGCTAAGCACCAACAGTTTGACAATAGCTTCTTCTTTTCAATTACTTTGAATTTAATATTTTCTTTAACATATAGCAGAACCCCTCCTTGGCATCGCATCTCACAACGCTATAACCCGGTACGTTAACCTCGCTATCCTCGATTTCTGGGGTCAGTCTAGTTTCTGTTAACGCTAATATTGTAGGTCTTCTTCTCTTCATAAACAGGTGTTGTATTTCGTCTTTGTGCGCCATTAAACTTTGTGCGTTTGTATAACACAAAGAATCCTCCTCTGCTGGTTGCTATTTTGAGTCCTCCCATCCTGCTCTTCTTTTTTCTTCCTCTAGAATCTTCTTAAACGTCGGGCACTCCGAATCTATCGCCTCATGCTCGGTATTCAATTTCAGGTTATACGTCTTATTCTTATAAGTACAGTTTACACAGTTTTTTATAGCTGCCGTACATTCATTCACCTTGTGATAACCCGCACATTTGAAACACGCCTCTTGTCTCGTGCAGTTCTTCGCCATGTGGAAATAGCCCCAGCATTTGTAACATCTTACGACGCTGATGAAGTTGTACACTATACATTTTCTCCATCCTATATTTAACTTGCCTCTTTTTATTATCGCTTCATGTGTACCATTATCTACCTCCAATATCAGAGATCCTTCTTCCTCTCTCCTTTTTCCATTGGATCGTTCATTATTCTTGTCTCTTCTTTTATACATTCTCTTTACTATCCGCATAAAAAGATCTTCTCCTGCTGTGTCTTCAATTCTGTTCTGTCTCTTAATCGCATCTAATAGCTTATCATCATCCATCTTTATTTCATCTTCTCCGACATTAATTACTTTAATCTTGGGTTTTTTCCACTGAGGCTCATTGACCTTGAAATCTTCTCCCATTGTCGCTTGTACCTTATCTTTCAGCGTTTTCATTTCTTCATCTGTTTCGCATCCGAGAATAACCGATCCTCCCCCTCCCTTTCTTAATTTTGAGATTCCAACTTCCATGTTTTTAATATCTATTTTTTCTTTGACTATCTTCTTTGTATCTTTGCTCTCTTGTTGCGCTTTCGGTTTAATTATCAAGATATTCTCCTTCTTCTTCTCTTTAACCGCTTCACTATACTTTCTTGATGCTCCACAGGTTCCATCCATCATCATTCTTTTCAAGTTTTCCATTTCCTGTTTAATAATTCCTATTTCTTGTTGTATTATTTCCTTTATTATTGTCCTGATCTCTTTCTTGCATACCATTTCATTTTTTATTTCTTTCACCGTTTTTATAAGAAGATCAATCTTTACATCAGTCCCCGCTGGTCCGGTCGCCTTCGCCGATCCGTTACCACTTGCCGCCACATTAACTCCTGTAGCTCCCATTGGTCTTCCTGTCGTTGTCCTTGTTTTATTTTTCTCCATTTCTTTTTCGTCCTCAATCATAATCTTTTCAAACGGGCCGGGACACGATATAATCTCTCGGTTTCCGTCTTGAATCTTGTGCTTGGTTACACATCCAGGATGGTAAAAAACACCAGCACACGCTTTACACTTCACGACAAGATTTTTAATGGACTTTTTACACGCTGCGCACCGGTATTCAGCTATACCATCCATATCGATAGTGATCGATATATCGATAGACCGATCCGCCACGTGTCACACAGCACGCGATTCGACACGTTTGTTTCCTCTCATGTGTCACCCGACGCAATGACACCAGAAATCACCACCGGCGTCACGCAGCAACCAATCAGACGAGACAAAAGCAAGTCCACGTAGATCACAGCAAGCGGCACTCAGATAACCACATGCACATGTCAGACCCGAGAAAAGTGAGGTGATGAGAGATAAGGCAGGCGCATGCGCAGCAGGGGTCGGCGTATTGTACGGGTATTTCCGAGAATTCCACAGATGTTTCCAAGAACAAGGTTAGGATGAGTAATGAAGCTCGCCACGAAAATACTCAGAATTATGTGGCGAACTCCAAGAAAGCGAATAAGGCGCGTGACAAGCAACAAAAGCCTTGTTCAAATCTGCAACAAAAAGGCCCGGAGGCAACTCACGGCAGAAAAACAGATCAACTCAAAGCAGGAGCAAGAATACAGCGTGACACAACCGATACTTACTTGAGAGAGAGAGAGAGAGAGAGAGAGAGAGAGAGAGAGAGAGAGAGAG